CGTTTGTTTGCTCCAAAATTCATTAGACTCGGTAAACTTTGTTGGTTGTTGTTCGCTATTTTGCGCGTTCGTTCTCCCTCTATCCATCTGTCTCTATCACTCTCTATCGTCCTCTACGAATAATTTATCAATGCACTTTTGTTTCCAATCTTTCGATTCAGGTGACTACGAACGAACGGTAGCTGCGTCAGTGACAATAAATGAATCATCGTTTCTGTGCAAAGAAAATTTCGTTGACACACGAACCATAGCAGCAACGAAAAATCCCACGGCACATGGCACAGATACGAATGACACTGGCACTGGTAGTGTCGTGCCAATAATCTATTTCGTAACGCCAACATATCCACGACGCGAACAATTCGCTGAGATTGTACGGCTTGGTCAAACGCTTATGCACGTACCACATTTGCACTGGATTTTGGCCGATGATACGGACTCATGTAATCAACATTTGGATGAGTTTCTAAACCGTTTCGGTAAGCTAATGCTTTTGTATGTTTGACTTTTCTTGTGTGTATGTTACCAACGATGTAAATGCCATAAATCTGCAGCCGATTTGCGAAATGTTAAAATGAAAAGAGAGAGAAAAAAAGGTTATGAAATGGTGCAATAATTTATCCGACGTTTAGGTATTCCATATACTCATATATCGAGCCCAATGCCGGATTTCTATCGTTCACAAAAGCCGATGCCGAGAGGTGTTGCTAATCGACGAGCTGCAATCAATTGGATCCGGCAAAATGGCAAGAAGCCAGGTGTACTCTATTTTGGTGACGATGATAACACATTTGATTTAAGGCTGTTCGATGAAATTCGATCGACCAAACGAGTTTCAATGTTTCCCGTTGGTTTAATTGGCCAGTATTCCATTAGCGCACCAGTCGTACGAAATGTAAGACTTTGAATACCAAAAACTATTACATGTTTCCGTTCAATTATTACGTCTATCCTTTTAATGCAATCTCATTTTTTTAACCGTTTGTTTTTTTTTCATGTCGAAATGATAACTCTCTTTTTTAATTGCATTTTCATGTTAAAAACCATTTATTTGTTTCATTTCAAGGGCAAAGTAATTGGTTTCTTTGATTCGTGGCTGTCGCAACGAATGTGGCCCGTCGATATGGCTGGCTTCGCCGTTTCGTTGGAGTATCTAGAGAAGAATCCAAACTCAACGATGCCGTACAAGGCCGGTTTTGAAGAGGATGGCTTTTTGAAAAATATCGGATTGAAAATGAACGAAATTGAACCGAAAGCGAAAAATTGCACCGAAGTTCTTGTGTGGCATACACAAACGAAGAAAGAGAAAGCAGCACTCATCCAAATTGATAGTCGTATTATTGAATCAGATGATACCAGCTTAGGTGCACTTTTAAGAACATTGGACGCACTAGGTGTCAGTCATAATAGTCCGTCATCAGGTAATTTTCATTTTAACTTGGTCAAAGTGCTTCAAATTTGTTGCAGTGAAGAGCAATTCGCTTTTAAAAACATTGATTTAAAAATATAGGCAAAGATATCGGATGAAAGAGATTTCATCAATGTTGTAATCGCATTTTTTTATTTGATTTTATTGATGTAATTCGAAACGTTTGCTTCAAATTAATATTCTAAATGCGTTTTATCCATCTTTCTTCTTCTCAATCTTCGTATAGGTGTAAAAGCGCAGATAGCCAAAAATGCAAAGGCAAAAGAACTAACCCATAAAACTATATAATTCAACTAGTTATACTACCCAGAGCGAGAAGCGTTTAATAATTTATCGGCCGATCTATAAAAATGGAGGTGTTCTACAGCGTTCTCTGCGTTGAAAGTGATATGAAAAAGGCAGCTGAAAAAAAAACGAAAACAGTTCCAGAAAGAGTCTAAGGCCATTTAAGTGAATTGGTGCGGTATCGACAGAGGAAAATAATCGAAGAATTTATGAGTTTAAGTAGTTTTCTACAGCAATGGAGGCAGTTACGAAAGTTTTTATTTAATTTATTTGTACCGGTAACAGTTATTACCCGTAGGTAACGAGTTAAGCATAATACGAAACCAAATTGATAAATAATGAAATGCACGCTTTCTGAATGCTCTATGAATATAAGTGAGTTTAGTTTAGTTAGACATGGTCAGTACACGCATAATAGTCATCAAATGACACTGATGACAGGCCGTTTGAAGAAAAGCAGAAAATGAAACAAATTCAATTTCACATTGTCTTCATTAATCAAACCTATTTCCAATATGACATTCGTCAGCTGTTCGATCGTTATTCCAACATTGACTTGTATAAAAAGTGAATCTAAGCGAATACTATATCTATTGAATTGAAACATTGACACTGTATACACGCTAAAAAGGTTCCCATTATTTTGAAATTCGGTAAAAATCGTCGGAGCGAGCGAAAAACAGACACAAACACATCGCAATTGTTAAGCATAAATGCTTTGTTTGGTATGCATTGCATAGAAATATTTTAGCGACTATCATCAAATTCTACCATTTTTTTTATTTTGATATTTATTGAAAATGATGCCAACTGCTCTGTGTTTTTTTTTTTTATTAAATCATTGTGAAAAAAACCTACAATATTGCAAAGCCTATAATTGAGGACGAGTCATTTTTCATGCGTGTACGTTTGCTAAACTTTCCGCTGTATGCGCGTGCCAATTATTGCTGGTGTATTATACGGCAATTGTATATCAAAACCCGATGTTAGTCATGGTGTGCGCCAGTCGCGACTGTTTCGCTTCAATCAAGTCAGTGCTATTTCGCCAGCTTTTCTTTGTTTGTCTGTGTTGACGGCAATTTTTATTCACCCATTTTCAATGCATATAAATTGCAGCGATTTTCGTGCTATTTTTATCAGAAATAAACAGCAACAAAGAGAAAAAACGTGCACAGAGAAGTTAAAAAGTGGGAACAAAGTGTTCAAGCCAAGTTCATGGAATGAAAATGGTGGCGTCGTAAATCGCATGCCTTTTTCATTATTACGAACCGATAATTGTTTTATGCGATTCAATAGCAACACCACTTGAGCAGTCGTCGAAATGAGCCTTATTATTACGATTTGGTCGTTTTCACGGGTCAAGCCTTGAATAAAAAATAACAACTCAATTGTTTGTTTGAATGAATCATATAAAATCCCATTTCGATTGTGGATATGAATAGAAATCCGATTTATCGCAATCACGAGATTCTTTTCAATTTTTTTTCATTACGTTCTCTCTCTCTTTTTCTCCATTGTCAAATGCCAAAGCGACCATTCAATAGATTTTGTCCGCAATTATATTTTCCACTTTTATTCCGTTCGAAATTAATGTCAAAGTAAACGAAGACCAATAAATGTGAACACAGGTGAACACGAAAAAAAACACTTGCCCCGGAAAAGAACATTTTGCAATGGAACCTTTGGTGCCACTCAAAC